GAGAGGGTTAAACCAGGCTGCTCCTTGGAGGCACGGATTCTAGGGCTTCGCCTGACATACTTTGGACATGTTGTAAGGAGAGACAGGTCTTTGGAGAGGGACATCATGCTGGGCAGATTGGAGGGACGGCGCAGGAGGGGAAGACCCTCTATGAGGTGGATTGATTCAGTGACTGCGGTAATCGGGATGGATGTGTCAGAGGCAATGCAATTGGCACAGGATAGAGCAGGGTTTAGGGCTGTTGTACATAGGGTCGCTATGAGTCACAAGCGACTTGACGGCACATAACAACAACAACAACATATCGCATTGTTGTAGAGGTGTGATGTGACCAAAATGAGAAAAACGGTGTGCACAAACAGCAGTGTTAAGTGAAAGATACAGTGCATTATTCTGCTTGGTTTGTGTTTCTACTTTGGGGGGTGTGTGTGTGTGTGTGTTTACAATATAAAAAATTAAGAACTATCAATCACATGTTGCAATTTATGTAGCTGATTTAATCAATAAGAAGTTCCATGTTCTTTCAAGTAAGTTCCATGTTCTTTCTGATAAGCACAGGTCCCTGTTCCTTGTTTGGTTCTGCATTTTTGCTCAAACCAACAACTTATCTTCTGCTTATAGTAGCACTAGTAGAAGTAGCTCTTGTGAGGTAGTGCATAACTAATGCCTGCTCTGTGAGCAAAAGATGACCAGTCTCCTCTTATAAAGAACTCAGTGGCACGTAGCTGAGTCCAGAACAACTCAACAGCGGTGGGTTTGGAGGGTAAGACTAGTAGACTGTATAGTACGGGATGATTTTTCAACACTCTACTTTGGTAGATAAAACCTAGATACTGTGTTTAGTTTTTTGTTTCATTCAAAAGATCACTATGAAGACATTAGAGGCCATATAGAGGGGGCAGGAATATGATGATGAAGGCTCTAGAAATAATTCTAGGAGAAGAGTTGGAAATTACATAGAGACTAAACCTTTGTAAAATGAGAGCACTGAACTGAGATGCATTCAAAGCTAAGAACACTGACTGGGCACACCTTGACTCTGAGCAGTAGCAAACACAGTTTTCTTTAGATAAAGTATCATCACCTTAATCTAAGATCTTCTATGCTAAAAATAAAACAAATGTTCTCTCACAGTTAAAGATGACCAAGCTCATAAAGAAGAAATCTCCCATGGATGAGTCAGCAGAAACAACAAACAAGAGATTAAGAGTATCAGAAACTTGAGATACTGATATAGATTAAAATGTATATAAAATTAACTATTGGTGAAATGTTTAAAGTTATAATAGAAGCAGAGTACTGAGCAACCAGAAAGTGACTCCATGGCTGGGCTTTACTTCTGTCCAAAACTGCTTGTTATGAACTAACTCAGTTGCCACAAACATTTCTAAAATGGAACAAAATATATACAGTTTTTAGAAAATATATGGTATTGAAAACAACCACCTAAAATCTAATTATTCAGAAAAGGGAAATATGAATTGAATGCTTTGTTCTCCTTTGCATCTTACCTTAAAGCACTTTCAAAATCAGATTGAGTACAACCC